CTTTCCCTTCAAGTGTGTCCACCTTGCCCCACATCTTTGTGTCATCAGCAAACTTGGACAATGTGCTTTCAACCCCCTCGTCCAAGCTGCTGATGAAGATGTTAAACAGTGCAGGCCCGAGGACCAAGCCCTGGTGGACCCCACTGCTCACATCTCTCCAGGTTGAGTACGACCCATCCACCACTACTCTCTGGGTGCGCACCATCAGCCAGTCTTTTACCCATCCAACTGTGTAGGCATCAATGCCACAGTCACTTAATTTATTAGTGAGAATGGGGTGAGAGACAGTGTCAAAGGCCTTCTTAAAGTCTAGAAAGACTATGTCCACAGTGACACCATCATCCAAGGATTTAGTTACCTGGTCATAAAAGGCAATCAGGTTGGTCAGACATGACCTGTTTTTGATGTACCCATTCTGGTTGCCCCTGAGCATGATCTCCCCTGCAGGCCCCCCACAGATGTGCTCCTTGATGATTTTCTCCAAGATCTTCCCGAGCGCCAAGGTGAGTCTTATGGGCCTATAGTTACTTGGGTCCTCCTTCTTCCCTTTCTTAAAAATGGGGACCACATTAGCTAGTTTGCAATCCCCCAGCACCTGGCCAGATGACCATGAATGCTCTTCCTGGAGCACACCCCGTAGCCTGGGGGTAATGCTGCCACCACTCATGAGTCTCGGTCTGTTAGTGGCTCTGTGTCTCATGAGGTACCCAGGCTTTATAGACCTGAAGGGGGTACTCAATCCACTGCAAGAACTTGGGATGCTTCCCTTAGTCTGAAGCACAAATAGTGGCCCCCCTAGTCAGCCAGACCAAGGGGACTCCAAGGCATAATCTAGACTCACTCCCAATAAGTTTCCCATGCTAGGTACAGAGGAGGATTTTATTGATTACAGGGAATAGGTTTGGAACAGGGTACAGGGTAGAGCAATATCAGAGAAATACCTTAGAGCAAACGGGGTGGCTGGATAGCCTTTGATCACGCATCTGTGTTACTGCAAGCTGTATATCTAGTTAGATTTCAAGTAGCTTACTCACAAGTATCATCCAGAGGCTAATAGAGCTTTCCTCTGAAGGTAGGCAGCTCATAGTGTGTCCACGTGTTTCAAGAGAGAGAGGTTGTACTAGATGACTCCTGGGGTCCCTTCCAACTCTAATTTTACATTATTCTAAACGCTAGTGAGACACAGGGGCCTGCAATTCCCTTTTGTGATACACAGATACATGGTGCCCATGGAGGGGTGGCTGCCTCCTCTCAGTAGCATTAGCTAGGTGATCTCTTTGGGATAACTCCAGCTTTAAACATCCCTTCCACATCAGAGCCCCTGATCTCACCTATCTGCCAACCTGGGACTTTACTGGAGCCATAAAGACCCTGTCACCATTCTCCCAGGGAAACAGCTCACTTGGTACCAGCTTGTTGGCCTCCACCTTGAACTGACTTTTACAAACCATTTGAGCAAGGGATGGAGCTAAATTTGCTTCCACTGACTAAGTAGCTATCACACATTCAGCCAAGGTGAAAGCAGAGACACACAAAGAATAGTCCTGAGAGGAGGGGATGGGAGAGAGGTTGTGGGATAAGTTGAAAACAAGGAAGCAATCAAGAGAAGGGAAGAAGGGGAATAAAGGAGCTTGGAAAGGGTGGAAAGAGATGGAGGAGAGTGATGAAAACTCAGGCAGAGATAGAAGAGGAGAAGACAGGGAGCACTTCTGGGAGGTAGCAGACTGGGGTGGGGGAGGGGGGGAGGTGGGTGGCATGCAGAGGGAGGGTCACCTGTCCCCTCCTGCTCTCCTGGCTCTGGCAGTATATGTGATCCCTGCTCCTGCCTCATGTTTTTCAGCCCTGGCTAAGATGAGGGGAGGCTGCCCTCAGCTAAACTTATGGACTATTCTGATTCCTGCCCTTGCTTTCAAAGCTTGTGTCACCTGTGGCTGCCTTGGTAGGTGCTGGATGCTGTTTATTCACCTGGACTGGTTGGTGGGAAGGGAAGAGGGTGTCAAGGTAATGAACAGTCACACATCAGGGCACAAGAAAGCCTTCACAGGGGCTGGGGGGGATCACCCCCTCCCTCCCATTGCTGTGGCAGAAGTGTACATGGGGTCTACAGTTTTCCAATGAGGCATCTGGCCTCCATCCCTGCTGGAATGCAAACACAGAGCTGGGTGACAGAACAGCCTGCTCCATGCTGACCTAGCAGTGCCCATTCAGTCAAGCTGAGGACTGCTTCTCCACTGTTGATCCTGAGCTGCAAGACAGGAAGAGCTTGGGGCTTTCAGAGCCTCCTTCTCTCATGACATTTGTATTTGTTCTTAACGTCCAGGCTCCTGATGTCATAGGGTCATGTCAAAGCTCAGCTCTTACTTAAAATGGCAAGCTTATTACCAGCTTCTCCAGAGAGATGAAGGGACTGGAGCTGCCATGTTCTCCATGCTGCAGAGTGGGCTAGTCAGGAAAAAAACAGATCATCTTTAGCCAAGGGAGGAGGAAGAAATTGTGCCTTTCCCTCCTCTCCTTTTCCAGTTCTCCTCTTTAGACAGAGCTGCAAAGAGCACAAGACCTTACCTCAGAATTCAGCACAGTGGCACTGTGTCCTGGGGACACCTGAGAGCAAAGGTCAGTGACTCTGTGTGTGTGTGTGTGTGTGTGTGTGTGTGTGTGTGTGTGTGTGTGTGTGTGTGCGCGCGCGCGCGCGCACAAGACAAGGGGTGGGGGATTAACTCCAGTGTCAAAGTCCAGGGATGGGGCCTGGTTTACGCTTAGGTTGGGATTAACAGCAAAGAGCAATGGGAGTGGGAGAGATGGACTTGTGGGACAGATGGACTTGGGACAATATATGAGGAAAAACTGAGGTCTGTCCAGAGTGGTGGGTGAAGGGGAATGGAGAGGGAACATTGCCCTCTAAGCACAGGAGGAAATGTTTGGGTTAGACTGATCATCAGCCTACTCAGGGTCAAGGTGGGAACCACATTAAGCGATGAGGATTGAAAAGTATGTAGTGAGAGCGTGTTAGGTAAAGTGCATCTGTCTACATTGGATTTATTAAACCTGCTAAAGACCAGGGTCTAACAGCACAAGTTTTATGGTAGGCTGAACACAGACTGAGAGGTGGGAAAGTAGAAGATGGAAAAGAGGCAGCATCAGTAGAAGTTTCCCACCTTTGCTCCTGAGCTTTTATAGTCCTTGGCTTTCTCTCTCCTCCTAGAGCGGGTCTGGAGGTGTTGTCCCATGGGCTGGAAGCTCTTTCACACCAGCTGCTACTACTTGTTCTCTGACAGTAGGTACTGGGATGAGAGTGAAAAGAGCTGTATGCAAATGGGCTCCCACCTAGTGGTGATCAACATGGAGGCTAAACAGGTATCTTGCTGGGAGTTCAAAGCCAGCCCAGGGTGGGGACAAAACTGCATACCCTATGCACCTGCTCTGGAATAGGGGTGGGAAACACATTCTCCATAATCAGTCATCCAAGGGCTCCCTCACCCCAGCACTTCCACTCTGCAGAGACATTGTACCTGCCATCTTCTGAGCCCCTGGAGCTGGTGTGACTGGATTTTGTTTTTTAATCCAGGATTTCTTGCTCAGCTGGCTAGAAGGAACAGTTACAGCTGGGGAAGGAAAGAAGAGTCACTGCCTTGGTCTGTATTACTGGGCGGGAGAAGGCCAGTGGCACTGGGTGGATCAGACACCATATAACCAGAGTGCAACGTGAGTATCCTCTGGCAGGGTCACCAATTACCCCATCCCTCTTAGTCTCAGCATGCAGTATATGGGGTAATGTACCTGTGCATGTACCAGGATAGGAATGTGAAGTGAGAGGAGGTGCAGGGAGAGGCTGCTGTCTCCTATACAGAATATTTTTGCAGATCTGCTATAGAATCATGATCAGAGGCTTCCAGTCCATACCCTGGGGTAACACTGAGGGAGGCAGGGGAATCACTCTGGTTGATGGACAGGCTGCTATCCTCCCCACTCCTCCTTCCTCACCAGCCCCAGCTTGTTCCTCTGGGATCCTCTAACAGCATGCTTCTGACACTGGAACATCTTCTGCAGGTTCTGGATACCCAGGGAACCCAATTTCCTCCCCTGGGAGAAGTGTGCTGTCTTGCAAGTGGGAAGGAGAACAGCATCCTCAGGGAAAAGGACCTGGAACAATATCCGCTGTCACAAATATTGTCATGGAATCTGTGAAACTGCAGCAGTAAATATCTGATGGGAGACATCTCATCATGGATGTGAGACTAGAGAGAGCCTGTCTCTTGCCTGGGGGAGCTCCCAGGGAGATGTGCAGATGTGGGGTTTGGATAAACCCTGGCAGCTGGACTGTAGCTCTGCAGGGGGGTGGGGAGGTGGTCACCATGTTCAAGGACTTGAACTTACCAGAAAAGTTATTTTCTGAAAAAAATGTCAGCTGATGGACATGTTAAAAGTGGAAGAAAGTCTGTTTCAGCCAAGTCCTGCCTGAGACATCCCCAAAATTCCCAAGACCTCAGTCAAGGCATTTGGTGAAGAATGGCAAGAGAGAGAGATGGGGAATTTACCTGAATGTGTGGAGGAATATTGCCATCTTCTCCATTATCACAGGTGATGCTGCTAAGTGTAGTGGCTGCCCTTGTCCCATTGGGAGCATCATGCTCATATCAAGGATGTTTATTGTAAACAGGAGAGGGTCTCCTCCTGTCCAAGTGGCTCGTGACTGCAGGATGCAGGGTGAGATTCAGTTTTCAGGAAGATTCCAGAGTGGAAGTCTAATCCTCAGAGCTGTATTTTGTACACCCACCCCAGTCACCAGGAGTCATAATTTAACTACCTGTCCATGTGTGTATATCTATAGAGTCATGTCATAGGCTCATTATTTCCCACCTGAGCAGAACCCTTGTAGAAATCAATCTGCAGTGCATCATAAGAACAACTCATCTTTCCTTGTCGTCCCCAAGGTGAGATCCTATTATTCTCTGGATTTGGGATCATCAGTGTTGTTTCCAGAATATTCACAGGCAGACATAAACCTTCCTGGTGCTGAGAAAGGTACTTTCCCAAACCACTGTCACCCCAGGACATGACTGAGGGACCCCAAGCTGGCATTGTAGTGGGTTACTATTGCTGCCTCTTCCAAACTGGCAGATCAATACCAGTTTGATGCTGGGCTGATTGAGGGTGGCCTTTGTGTGGCACTACTACCATATGTGCCACTGCCCTGCCATCTGGGCAGCTATTGCTCAGAAGATGTTCTCAGTGCAGTGCCCTGCTTTGAACTGCCAAAGCATGTCCTCTTGGCCCCAAATGGCCAGGAGGTCAGCCACCTCTAGCTGAATCCCAAGTGCCAGCCCTGAGCACTTGCCTCTTGCCTTACTAGCAGGAATCCTGATGTTCCTTACTTAAAAACTGGAAATTCTCTGATAACAAAAATTCCAAAATCACTCTTTAAAATACCCCCAAATCCATGTTCTTACACAACTAAAACAATAGACCACTATATATATATCTAGACAGAGAGAGAGAGAGAGAGAGAGAGAGAGAGAGATCAGTTGGGCAATGTTTTATTAATATATTTACAATTTTAAAGCAATTTGGAAGCCTGCCAGTATCTCTATCATCATAATAAAATACATTCTAAGTATCTATATGCTTTGATATTTGCTTTTGGTTTTCTTATCATAGAACAATTAGAGCTCCCTCTGACCCCTTCACTAACCAGGATGTGGGGACAGCTTCCTCTGCAGCCACAGCTCCTGCAAGCAGGTCTCATTCTGTCTGGCAGCTGAGTATGCTGGGTGTGTGACGGAAGGATGTGGGGTTTGCAGGAGGGATGTGGGGAAGGGTGTGGGGGTGTGGGTGTGGGGGGATTTGAGGAGGTGTGGGAGGTGCGGGGAGCAGCAGCTGGCTGGACTGTGCCCACTGCAATGCTGCTTCACTTGTGGTTTGTGAGGGGAGAATGGGCCTGACCCAACCCAACCTGGCCCAGCACAGCCAGCTAGTGCACCTATGGACAGGACTGGGACACACGGCTCTGAGACCCGTGGTTCCTGTCCAAAGGTACACACTTGCTGGGTGGGCCAGGCCAGGTCAGGCCGGGTCTGTTCTCCATGAGAGTCAGGTGGCAATGTGTGGCCACGGGGCTGTGCCATGTCCCACTTATAGGCACAGCCCCATGGCTACACTTTGCCACTTGACCTTCATGGAGAACAGGCCCGGCCCAAGCATGGAGAATCCACAACTTCTCTAGGTGGCCTGTTCCAATGCTTGACCACCTCATAGGCACAAAGTTCTTCCTAATCTCCAACCTGTATTTCCTCTGCTGTAGTTTGAAGCCATTGCTCCTAACCCTGTCCACTGTGGCCATAGAGAATAGGCTATCTCCATCGTCTCAATAATCACCATTCAGGTACTTGAAGACTGTTATGAAATCTTCACTCAATCTGCTCTTCTCCAGACTAAATAATCCTAGCTCTTTCAGCCTTTCCTCATAAATCAACCTTTCAATCAAAGAACTTACTCAACCCCCCTGGAGCAACTGGACATGGCTTCAGGGGGCCAGGCTGGTACAGGAGGGAGTTGCTATTGCTATGTGGAAACTACCCATCCCAGACTGCCACAGGTCCACTGCTAAATAAATTAGTGTGGGCAACCTGACTATTGGGCTGAGGGGAGGCTGAGATTTGCAGTTTTATTCTGAAGGTTGCTTACCCACAGCTGGTGGCATTAGGCATGTCCCTGGGAGGACACCTGGTTGTCAGAAAATGGGATTTCCCAACATTTATGAGGCTATGGTGGCACACAATTAGTCCCCTTTGCAGACTGGTGAATAGGTTACCTGTGAGGAATTCCCTCTACACCTGTTTGGAGACTACCATTATAAACACCAAATGTGTGACTCAGTCTGCTGCAAAACTAGAGATATTCTAACCTAGTGTGGAATATGAACACTGAAGGGCACTCTAGGTGATCCACACAACCAGGAAGAATGTCTTTCAGTGACACAGGTCCGGGGTCAAAGGATAGAGAAGAAATTTGGACTCTGTGACAAGCTCATGTGTAGTGATTTTCATAAGAAATTGCAAGCCATTACACCTGTTGTTCTGTAAGTTCTGAGACCCCTTGGGCCATGTTTTCCCAGGTGTTATGGGACCTTGAATTATCTATCCATTTTACTTATCTAGTTAAGCTTCTGTGGGAGTGGTCTGCTAATCTGTTTGAGTAATCTGATTCCTGATTAATTTTATGGACTATTGTGGGTGAAGGCTTCCTTCTTCTTGCTAAAATAATATCATTTCAACTATGACTTTCCTTGATTACTGGGAAAGCAGGGGACATGGATATATTTTGGTGGCTGCTACCCATTGTTTACTCCTTTTATATCCCAGTAAAATCATATGACAAGGCTGGAGCTTCCATATTCATGACAGTTAGATGAACAGCAATGTTTGGTTAAATTAGCCAATTCTGCACCATAAAATCAATCAGGATGGCACAGTCAGAGTTGCCAAGTGCTGGCAATGACTCCATGTGTCTGTATTTCTAGAGTAAGGATCAAGCAAACCAGAGACACCAAAGGGCAGACTAATTGAGAGTGTTCCTTCTCAATTAGTAATAGAAACTCTTGTAGACTACATTGGTCTGACTGCCCAGGAGGGCGAAGGCCAGTAGTGTGGGGTGGATCAGACCCCGTATAACAAGACTGCAGTGTGAGTATCACCGGGGAGGGGCACTGATCACCTCCTACCCCTATACCAACAGTGCAAAGTGTAATGAATCACGTGTGTGCATGTATGTGAGAGAGAGAAAGGAAAAAAAAAAAAGAAAAAGAGAGAGGGAAACCATTTCCCTCTCCTGGAATGAAATGTCCATGAGGAAGTGAGTTTTTGAGGGAATATGATCAGAGGGGTTTTGTCCATTTCAGGAAGCAGCCCTGAGTGAGTTGGAAGATCTCTCTGGGTGATTCACAGACTGCAAACCTCCCACTCCTCCTTCCTCATCAAGTGCATCTCAGTGTCCTGTGACCTTCCCAATAGTGCATTTGTGACACTGGGGCTTCTCACCTGTAGGTTTTGGAGATCTGAGGAACTCAGTTACCTTGAAAGGGAGAAGTGCACTGCCATGCATGTATTTGAGGAGAGACTGCCCCCTCATGTGGAAGCAGAGTGAATAAGAAATGTGTGCTATGAAGGTACATGTTAGGGTGGGGCACTGATAACCAGCTTGACTGCATCCCCTGCTGTGGCTGAACTCTGCAGAATTTTGTGCCTGAAGGTCAGGAACTTTTTCCTGCAGTGCTGCATGGGAGATGGTAGGTAGGGCAGCAATGATGGTCTCTGGGTAGGTCAATGAATGCAGATTCAAGAGGTCTAGAATCACTTCCTAGCTTAGCTACAGACTTCCTGTATGACCTTGAGTACATCACCTCACTTAGCCAGTGTCACTTCCCCATAAATATCTGTATCAAACCTCATTTCTTCTGGTATGGCAGGATTTTTCTTTCTAGTCTCTTCAAACAGTGTTTCCAACTGTTCCATGGAAAGAGTTAAAAAAAAAAAAGTCAGGTAGGGTCCTGTTTGATCTGTGGTCCTCAGGATTACACCGCCACAGAATGAGGGGCAGGCAGTGGTGGTGGGGCTGTCCTCCCAGGCACAGTTGCTGGTGGTGCTGTGAATCAGCAGGTGAAGCCCGAGTCCGTGGGTGGAACGAGGGCCCCTTCTGTCCTACCTTCTGAAGTCAAGTGGGGAACAGTCTTCCATACAGGAGCCTTGGCTCAGTCCCTTCCCTGCCTCCATGGCTTTCTCTCCTCCACATAACATCTTCATAGTTCCGCCGTGCTTCCCCCTCCCTTGTGCAATATGAGTATCTTTCCAGCCTACCCCTGCTGCCCTTGCTAGCCCCGCTGCACTTGCTAGCCCCTCTGAAAACATTCGTAGCTCTACCACTGCCTTTGCTGTCCACCCTCCACTCCCTACCAAAAGAGTTCAGCTAGCTCCTTTCTGCACCTTTCCGTGTGTGTACAGGGTGGCAGGGCTTGCAAAGCCCAGGTCAGGAAGTGTTGCTCAACCCGCACAATTCTTAGACATAGCACTTGACCAATGAAATGTGTCATTTGGCATCACTCTGAGCAGCACTAAGGGAACAGACCCAAGCTAACCAATGTTTTGGAAAGATTAGAGCAGCAGATTGTGTGGAAGGGAAGGTATCCTATGCTAATCCTTCAGAACCAGCCAACCTGAGCAGAGGAAAGACACAGCATGGGTATCCTTCATCTACATTACTGGGCATTCAGAAAGCAGTGAGCCCAAGTAACTCTAGGAATGGATCCAGGGAAAACTTGTCATATAGAATAAGGGAAGGGAGAGCAGTTCTCGTCCCCAGCATGTAAGAAGATGACAGAATAAGTGAGAGAAGTACAGGGAAGGGTAACACATAGGATGGAAAGGAGAGAGGTGGCACTAAGGCCTCTAATGTACAAAATCTTCACAGATTTGAAGGGCAGAGAGGGACTGGAGTGATGCCCTAGTCTGATCCCCACTGACCCTGCCTGTACAACTTCAGCAAATGCTATCAGCATTGACTGAAATAATTTCGGGTGGTGCTCCTGCTTGTCTTTTACAAAGACCCAACCTTCAATTCAGGACTTCAGGTGAGGGACTGAAGTCGTACCCATGGGTATGTTGTTCCTATAGTTAATAACCTGTTTAACGCTTCCCTTCAAGGGCCTGGCACATCAATGACAGAACAAAGGAAAACCGGTCAGCAGGCCACAGTGGAGTGTGTCCGGCCCCAGCGTGAGCTGGAGGGAAGAGGAGGTGAGGTTGTGGTAACCCCGCTCTGGGATGGGGCTGCCACACCACACCAGGCAGCCTGGCCACAGCCTCCCCCCCCTGCACCGTCCGCCTTCCCTTTCCCCCTCACCCCCAGCATCTCATGGCTGCTCAGTCCCTGTGAACAGAGCGCAAGCACTGGCCCCTGTGCTGCTGGCCCAGCCAGAGTTCCCCACTGCCCTCCAAGCCCCTCCATCCTGTTCCGCTCTGGAGAACAGGCAACCCTCCCCTCCCCCCTGCCCTCTTGCTGCCCCAGCCCCCGCCACCCCTGCCCTAACCAAATGTCTGGGATTTTGCTGCTCTCTGGGAGTGGGAGCAGGGGAAGGCAATCGGAGGCAGCAGGGAGCACCACATGGGTCTGTGTGCCTCTGCAACTGCAGACAGGTACGTGTATGCTCCCTACTGCTTCCAATGTCCCTCCCCCTGCTCCCACCAGTGGAGCAAAGGAAAGTCCCGGATATTTAGGCAGATTTAAAAAAACCTGCCCGGACAGAGAGAAGAGGGCTTAAAAAAGAGGACATGGACGTATGGTAACCCTATCTCAGCGGCAGATGCGCACTTGATCAAAAAGCGTTACAGACAGACAGACAGACGGACGGAGCCCTTTATTATAACAGAATGTTTTTAGCTATTGTTTTAGCATCACTGCAAAGTAGTGTCCTGCAAACTTTTGTTCTAATGGGCCTGTCTCGGCTGCATGGTA